CTCTGCAGGCAAACATAAAGCCCCACTTCCAAACAAAGCCTCACTTGTGAAGAACGGGGTTTAGTAGAAGACCCTACTTTTCAGGTACTTCAACTTTGAGGCCCTATAGCAGACGCCAGACCATCCCAGTTTAATCAATAACCCTGAACCGCGGCGCTTCAGGAGGACGTCGATTTTGGAATATCTGCCCTTCATGGTGCTGGACCAACAGCGTGCCCTAAGCATGCTCTCGTTGAAGCCCCCCTAAACAAAGGCGTTCTAGCCTTAAACCCCTAACCCCGAACCCTACGTGCAGCCTAGCTGCATGCCTCGTAGAGCGGGGAGCCTGAGCCCGGTTTGTCCTTGTCGGCACCTTGGAATTCTCAACATGCCACTGTAGGTTTCTCAGACACGAGGTTTTTTGAGATCCTATGGATATAGCGGGATGAAACGGGTCTTTTGGCCATCCTTGAGGATGACGTGAGGATTGTCTGAATCAATTCGACTAGCTACAGCACTTACAACCTTATAAACGAAAATATCTGCAGTGTAGGTGCAATATCTTGGGCATGAGGGGCTTCCCGAATTAGTAATGAACCTAGTCATGGAGATGCCACTTAATAAGCCTTGCGCGTGGTTTCACACGAGACCACACAATATAGAAATACCTTGACAAAGGCTTCCGCTCCTCCCGCCAGGAAAATCAAACGTTTTGCGGAACCCCCGCCTGCCGCCAAGAGGGTGCGCACCACCTACAGGGGAAGGGTCGCAGCAATCGGGACTCAGATTGGGAATCAGAACTTGTGGGATTAGCGACATGTAATGCGCCGCAGACAACCTCGGACCTGGGCTAAATTATACAGCCCTAAATTCTAGGCTCAAAATCCTACTGACTCCCACAGACTCAACACACGTCATATTTGCACCCAGGGAAACGTTTTTACTTATTGTCATGCGGGCAGCAATATTATCTAGGTCCTACGACCCGTCAGGCCCAGACTGATCAAAAGACGTAGGATACCCCAACCAATATGCCCTATGAGAGTCATATCTTTCGGAATCATCCGGTCTATGTTGTAGGGTTTTGGGGTATCCCCAAATCCCCTCATTATGTATGCTAAGCTAGGGGTAAGGAGAAAGGATAACTGCCGAACCGGCTATAGAATCCCTGGCCCCTAGCCCCTCAAGTCCTGGACCATTCCATCATGCCCAGCCAAGTATGGGTGTGTTATTAGTTATGCCCCAGCCGTAAGTAAGCCCTAAGCCCTTTTTAACCCAGGACTGAGGTGCCGGCCTGAAGGAACTCCGCAGGCCCTAAACCCCTAACCTTAATGAAGCCTCATCTCTAAACCCAATCTTTCTCCTTCTTGAATAAGGATCGCCCTGGCCTCCTTGTGACCTTTCCGGCACGCTTGCACCAAAGCCGTTTGGCCCTGAGTCCGTCTATCGATGTCAGCTCTGGCGGCGAGCAACTGGCGTATGACGCTCCTTGCTTATATATAAGCATTTGAGGCTTAGAGGGCTGGGGGTCCTGGACTTATTCAGGTCCCATGAGTCCCATGGTCTCTTTTTTCAGGTTTCTCAGTGCTGAAGGTCCAGGGTTCAGGGGGGTTAGGGTTAAACGGGATTCTCGCGCCTTGTGGCGCAGAGAAGAAGCGGTCCGCTGCTCCGGGGTATTGCAGGGTGACGGCGTTTGGCATCAGTTTGCTAGGTAGGTATATCACGAATGAACTTACTTCATCTATAGCAGTTTAGCTGTAGGAGGTTCCCCGGCTTCAAATTGCAGAACACATGGGTCAAAAGATGCAACCATTGCTAACAGCCCTGACGCAAACTGTAAGAAAGTCTGGCCTGAGATAAAAATCCTTTGGGGACCGTTTGCTGCATAAGCTCTTTTTCATCACATGGACCAGAAGCCGGTTCGCAAGACAAGCCAAGCTGCGCATGGCCCTCAGCAGCATACAGAAAGGCTTTGGCCAAGTGGTCCGGACTGGAAACATCCTCCAGCAACAGGCGCACGATCTCTGTCTCACCTGGATCTCGGCAACTTAGCTTTGTCCGCTAGTCCCACCTACGCCACGTCATGACCACCAGACATTTCCCGAAGGTTCGAAACCATTTGACGGACCACTTGGAAGCTTCCTCCTAGGACTGTAGAGCTGAGCTAGGTAGAAAAAAGTTCGTCCTCAGACCTTCCTCATTTCCCAAGGGCTCCCAAAAGAGGAGTGCCCTTGGAGTGTCCCTAAGTGAAGTGCTGCGCATGTGGCTCGAAGATTCCGACTGTAAATGCGGCCTTCGAAAACTTGGAAATCATTCGCAGCATCCCGTGCCACATGGCAATTCTGCAGCGGGTACCCTTCCACAAACTAGTATGGAAACGCAGATAGGCCCTAGGTCCCTGAAGCACCTTGCAAGACATACCTGACCTTGTCAGGCCTTCTTCCCTTGCATCCCTGACGTACACTGAACCACTCCGTTCCTAGCAGCAACAGGCATAAACCCCACTAAACCTGAATTTGCGATTTCAGGTGAAGGCTTGGAACCCCTGCATATATCACTCACCCTAGCCCCCATCTCCCGAATTTCCGTAGAACCTGCACATATGCTGAAAGAAAGACAGGCCGACATAGATCGTGCGAACGGTAAAGAAGTTCGAGCACTTCAGCTTTGTCGCAGGTGCGTTGAAGTCTAGGGACCTCTCCAAACTTTACTCGGACTGCTATTTCCTGCTCCTTGTTGCTTTGGCCGTGGATTTTGCGCATTGAAGTGCTGGAAACTTTCTTACCCAAATTCCTCTGTGGCTCCGACCTCTCTGACATGCCAGTTCCAGAGGTGTCTCGTCCAGTGCCCCGCTGCGTTTATGTCGGTTCGCGCCCTTCTCAAGCAGAAGCTGCACAACCTTCGAACAAAATCTCACAGGGATAGGGTCAAAGGAGTGTTGGGCCACCATCACTGCAACCTGATGAAAGGAGGATATCAAGGGACCTGTTTTGTCAACCAGCCTGGTGACACGTAGGGTGCAAAGGATTTTTCCTGCAAGCTGTAAGGAAAATGTAGCTCTCCGAAAACGAGGCATGGCTATACACCCCAGAAATGACGCAGTCAGAACTATCAGGACGCCCCCAAACACTGCCGATGATCTTGAGAACACCCCTCACCATAGTCCTATACCAAGCAGACTCTAGGCTCACTTACTTAATGGAATCTACAGCTCTGAGTCCTGGAGCCCAACCCCTCCTGCTCCCGAGCCTACAAGTAAGCCCCACCCTGAGCCAGGCACTCAAAAACTCAAAGCCGCTACACTCCAAACCTGAATCCCCACCCTACACCCCATTCATCTCTTAGGTCCCTGAAACCCATTTTGAGAAGACCCCTCGTATGACACTGTACCCAGTTAATGGGACACTGTAGGGCGAGACCTCGAGTTGGCCATTCGACGTAGCTGCGCCTAGAGGAGTGTCCTTGCCAAGGGTTTTGAGGACTTAGGGTTCAGGGTTTAGGGTTCTGCAGCTTGGGGTGTGGGGCTTTAGGGATCCTGGCCCTTGACAAGAATGAAGGAATGGAATACAAGGACCTTTTGGGGACTCTACCTTCGTTCCCTATATACAGAGCAATTAGTAACATAGAGCTTGTAAGACCGGGGCTCACTGTAACGGCTTTTGGGCTTGGGGCTCTATGTCTTTTTTGGGGTCTACTGTTTGTTGCCAATTGCATGGCGGAAGCAGCGCAAGGCACCCCTAATGGTCAAGGTCTTTGGGTGCAGGGTTTCTGGACGATGTTCACAAGGTTTAGGGTTGAGCTGAGAGCCGTGCACGGCAAATGCTGACTCACGGGATTTAGTAGGGATCGGAACCCGAGAGGAGTAGAACGGAATCTCTATGTGTTGCATCAAGTCGTTGCTGCGATAAGGCAGAGGGGGAGCTCAAAGGTAGTCATGGATCATTCGTGTAAAAAGCAAATCGACGGTCTGAACGCATGGCCGACCGTTTGAGTGGCCACCGTCGCACTGGAAACATACTGATCCTGAAAGGCTCTGTACCTAGATCGACGGTGTAACGCATGGCCAACCGTTTGAGTGGCCACCGTCGCACTAGAAACATACTGATCCTGAAAGGCTCTGTAGCTATTGTAGTATCACTAGCTAATATTGATATGAAAACACTCGCTCCCCCAGACTTGAAGCGTGCTTTTTAGGAGGTCCCAGGCATACCAGAACCCTGTCTCTCGCCGAACTCGGTGGCCCGTGATCCGTGACCCCTGCATTCTTCGTTAATGGTCTGGGAAGAATCGGTACGCATAGTTGTGAATTCCGGACTGTTGCATGACACTTGCTCGGAGAGTGTTGCATGGCGCGCTGAGGCATTCTTTCCGGGCCTGGCCTCCTGTTCTTGCATGTAGAAAGCCCGCAATCCATCTGGACTTCTGTGAGAAAGCCCAAAGGACTCTTTTGTGGGGATCAATGTATGACAAGGGTGGTGCCATCCACATGGTGAAGGCTGGCGGGTGGTAACTTCCCTGCCCATACATTCTGGACCGGAGCATCACCCAGGCCCCAAAGGGTACATCAACAGAACGAGAGTACGCAACAGTCACAGTGACCATGAACAAACAAGAGTCATCATCAGAATCAGTTCCACTGCCAGACAAGCCAGTTTTTGAGGGGCGTCCATGCTTGTCTGGCTAAGCGCCACAGCCTGCTGGCAGAAAAGCCACGGAGAGTTAAGCGCGCCTGTGCAACCCCATCGCTTCAAGGCCACCAGCAAGACGACACGTCATCACAAAAATGGCGCTGCACATTTGACTGTAAGACACGAGGCTCGACTTATGATGCAACAAAGATGAGATTGTGCAAATTCAGTAACTCATCCAAATGAACGATTGCTAGGAAAACCAAAACAAAAGGAACCATCATAACAGCACTAAAGGCAACAACCCTGGAGCTTGCTCAGTTGCCTAGCAACGGTTTTACCAACTCCCGAATCCATTGTCCTAGAATCCTCGTGTTGGGGCCTGCAATCACCGAAATACCCTTACGGTTGTCCTTGCGGTAAATAGCGCAGTTCTTGTTGATGTCTGCTGCAGCTTCCAGGAGTAAGCCTTGCTTCTGCATTTTCCGGAGAAGGTCTAAGTGGACTTCTCCAACACTCATACGCAGAATCACTCTTCAACGATCCACTGCCACCCTGTAGCACTAGCAAGCAAAAGGTACTGTAACCTAAATTGAGGGTTGTGTTGAGAAACAGTCCAGAGATACTGCGTGCAAGCAGGGGCAGGCTCTCCCGTGTTTCATGTGATGCCAGACGTCTGTTTTGCATGTAGGCAATCACCCCTGAAGACAGCCACATGAAGCAACCAGAAATGGAAACCTAAACAAATGTCCTCGTCGTGCTAGGGTTCCGAAGACGATGCTCTGGGAATATTCAAGCCCCTACCTTCACAGCCCGGGAGCTCACAATTTCCGGAAAACCCCGGCCGCTGGCCGCAGTCATTGGCGTGTCTCGGTGGCTTCCGCTGATGTAGTCAGGCCACTGCGGTCTTTTCAGGATCTCCTCCTGAGCTTGGGAGTGGGGTTATTTAGGGGTCAAGGCTTTTGTTGAGGGGTGGTGGCAGGGACAGGACAGCAACAACAAGAATCTGAGGCAGCAGATTTGCGTGACTTTTTTGGGCCCTTCTAAATGCTAACGGATGCTAACGTACAGCTATGAAGTATGACACTTTCAAGGGAAATACTTCCAACAAACGACGAGCATACGTGCTCGATAGTGCATTCGCGAAGTGAAGTCCTCAAAATCAGAATGCTCATCCCAGCCTGTGCATCTCAATCTTGGCAAGAGCGCATGCAGCGATGTCAACATGCTTACAAGCCTTTTTCTGAACCATGTGCATAAACTCAGCCCTGAGTCCACAAGTTGAGGCTTACGGGCGCAGGGACGAGGGTTCACAGAACTGAGGCGTTCAAAGCCTAGAGACTGAGAATGAAGCTTGCGGGGCTTAGGCTCCAGCAGTCTCTCAGATCACCATAGGTCAACAAATCTAAGCCTGCTTTCCAACACAAATGGCTGAAGGTCTTTGCAACCAAAAAGTGCCTAGCTGACTTGCTGAGCCTGTGATCATGCAAGTGCAGGCTTCCTTACCATCTCGATCAATAATCCGCAAATCCCAAGGCAAAACCAGATTACAGGAACCCAGCTTCAACTTCCGATGCATTCCCATTCCTTAGATGGGTGTCAGAGCGTTTCGGGCAAGGCTTGTGGTATGGTGATGGACAGCGTAGGGCTGAGCAATCAAGGTGCTACGAAAGGCACAGAACCCCAAAAGGGGCCCTACTAAGACTGCTGTCTCTTGGCTTGGCGATTATGGGAGAGAGAGAGAGAGGGAGAGAAGTGGAGAAGTGCACAGTAGCATCCTCAGCGAAGCGAAATTTGGTACAACAGGCCTGAGGTGCACATATTGTCATGTATGTGCGAACACTCCTAATCGGTCCTTTGTACACCATGCGCCCAATAGTTGCGATTCTTGTCAAACTGCGGGGCCCTCCTGGTCAACCTCCCGGGCTGTCGTGTCAAATCCAGCAAATGGTGGTCGTGATTCAGCCACCACCTTGAATAACACGTGCCCCGCTTTGAGGCCCTACGAATCCTCTTGCCTCGCCTCTTTCGGGGCCGAAATTCTGTGCCGGATGTGTATTTTTCAAGACTGAACACACCCTCGTATCACAATCCAGAAACCCCCAATCCGCATTTCAAGAGCCACTCCGAAAAAAGCAATCAAATGCGTCTAAGGTTCTGACACGCAACAATTAGCTGGTCTACCTCTTCCCGTTCTCGGGAGATCTCCTGAATCGTTTGGGTTTTTAGGTTTTGAGGATTTGGGACCATTGCGAGCGCGGGAAAACTTCATAGACAGCGCATGCCGCTCAACATAATCGTTCGATTTCAGCAAGGAGTCCCATCAGATGAGGGAAGCAGTTTTCTCAAGCTTTTGGTAGCAAGGCCTTCTAAGCAACGCAGTCCAGGCCGATGGCAGGTCCGCAGAGGTTCATGGAGTTTGAGGTCGGCTGTATTTGGATCTTCTGTCTTCAGGGTAACGAACCTGTCTGACTTTAAGTGTAATTTTGGCTTCAAGGCTGAAGCCTTTAACGGGGTTTCAGGCTGGGGCAGAAGCTGAGGGTCGCGGTGCTCTGAACTCAAAGGCTGGACTCTAGAAGAAACCGCGCATGGCAGCTCAACAACGTTCGTCCTTGAGGGCAGGACGCACTGCAGATCCTTGTTACATCGAGAATAGCGGATGAATTCCTGTTTCCTGAAGGAAAAGACTCAAGATGCAAGTAAAGTTGCGCAGGCACATCATGAGACAGCGCAGGGGGCAGGGTTCATTTCGCCCATCATTTGCCTGCAGTGAGCTGTATGAACAAGGTAACATGCAATTTGTTCATCCAGCCTATGGCTTCGGCTTTACGAGGAATATATTCAGAAACACTTGCCGCTGTGGTGATGTGGAAATGGGCCTGTTGCGCAGGCAGTGCTTGAACAAATTGTGTACACTGTACACATACATTCCCAGAAACGGCTCAAAGCCCCATTTATAATGGGCATTCAAGAAATAATACATCAGGAAAATGAGGGGACAGCCTCCTACATCAATCATCTCCCAGATTCGGCAAAAGGCAGCAGTACGAACTGCAGGTCCATGGCGGCAGACAAGGCTTCATCATCCTTGTGGCTGCTCCAGTTTGGTATAGCACAGGCTTTGGGCCTTGGGCTTTTACAGCCGGATGGATTTGGGGTTCAGGTGTTGGAGCGCCGGGTTGTTTTCGATAAGCCTTAAACCTTCAGCCCAACACTGACACCCCAAGCCTTGCAACCTTGAACCCTTCAAGCCTGGCCCACGCCGTCCTCCAAGTTCCTGCCCTCATGAAGGAGCCGTTGACGAAATCGCGGCACGCCCACTTCAGGTAGGGTCTGCAGATGTAGCTTCAGTGCCCGTACAGTGGTTAGCTCCTCCACCTGCAGAATGCATGGGGCAAAGGGTTTGGGGTTTGGGGTTCAGGGATTTGCATGATGATGTTGACTCCAGATGAGCGAGTGGATTCTTGGATTGCGCGACGCTTGGGCGAAACTCTTCATCAACCCCCCGGATGATTCGGCGGCGGAAAGTTCCGCGGGTCCAAACAATATTCGGGTTGCCGGCCTGCGGATTCACTGTATGCACTGTGACGAAGAAAGCTGAACATTGACTTGCCTAGGAACATCTGAGGACTCTATACGCTGGTGCTGAATTTGTTTGGAGGGCTCCCACCTCCTACTTACGGACTGTGTTGCCTTGGGCAGGCTCCAGCTCTCTAATCAGTACCCTGCAATTTTTTGAAGGATAGCACGCTAATCATCATGGGATTGCAAAGGCGAATTCACGTGAATGCCTTGCGGAGGTTTGGGTTTCGGGGCTCTAAAGCTCCCGAATAACGGACCTGGCTACCGTTTTGAAGTCTCTGATGGACCTCTGCAATCATCCAGAACCCTGAACTTCAAACTTTGAACTCCAAACTGGCCCTGCGCCCTGCCCCACAGCCCGAGACTCTACACGCTCTAAATTTGACTTTACATCCTACAACTGTCTTCTCGACACCTGAAACCCATTTCTTCTCATAACATGTGCTAAAGACGCTGGTACAGCTGCCAGCTGTTTTCCAGAAGGCCACCATGCCTGGGTCTTTAGGCTCTTTGGTGTTCTGTCTCGGAATTCTTCTTTGGGTGCTACCCATACTGGTTATGCAACTGGGTGAACATAAAAACGCACGTAGTCAGGGATTAAGTACTTGTGGTTATGTTCATTCCAAAATAAGAGATCAAGGTAGACATACTGTCATACTGTAGATGGAGGAGATCTTGCGCTACACGATCCCCCAGACACTGTGATTCCTGCGGTGCAAAACATAGGTGGTGCAAGATTTCCCTATCCACCACAAGGGAGGCTTCAATCTGCTCTTCTATGTGGTTAGCTGAATGAATATGCCAGCCAGTCTTGCTGCGGTTCAGTTGTAGAGTCATAGCTCCATGTTCTAGTGCTATGTGCTCCAGAACCACATGCCTTCCACCGTGGAACTTTCCTAGTCGTGTACACACAACGTTATGCAACAGGGTCAAATGGCGAAGACCTCAGTACCAGGACTGATTGTTGCCATTCAGGATTATGTTTTCCCTCCCGCTTGGCTTGAAGATTTTGGGAGTTGGGGCTCTCAGTCTTATATAGCTTGGAGAGTGTGCATGCGCAATTAGGGTTTGCATGGATCGAGGAATCTCCTGTGTATGGAAGTTCTTTTGATCTGCGTCTGAGCTATGCAGGGTCAGCCTCTCAAATGAGGCGGCCCCGCAGCAGCGGATAATCGTGGAATGGGTGGCGCAGCCAGCATCGTGTGACCGTGCGGATCTGTTCGATACAACAATCGTGGCCGCGTTCATGAAAGGTCGAGTTTGTACTCAGTAACGGCGCACAAACGTAACAGAAGACACGTTCTAGACGTTTCATCAGATTCGACCGAAGTTCTTATTATGAGCACAAAGCATGGACTGGACCAAGCCTGCCGGTCCTCCAAAATCCTAACCCGCATGGATAACATCCAAAAAGCCCTAGAACCCCATGGCCACAAATCTGAACCCTGTAAAGCACGAAGCCTTGGGTAGCTTCGAGACGTGAAGCAGCAGAGTAGGTCAACCTATACAACACTTCCCACTACGCCTAGTCTCACGCCAACTGCTTAATTTCATGTCAACTTTGCTCCCTGCGCTATTACATTACTGCGACTAGTGTTACGTAGCATAAGCATTTGTAACTTACTTTTCTTCTTCTTACCACTACTACTACCACCACGTCCCATTAGTGCTAGTATTGCTGTTGCTGCAGATGCTTCAGCTACTGCTACTTCCACTCTACCACGACACTGAAACTTTTAAGCCCGGCCGCATGCAGCATCCGCGAGGGCGCATCTAAAGAACGCTTCATGGCGAAGAAGAAGAAGAAGGAGCGGTCAAGCGAACAAGACAGCTTCAAGAGTGAAGTAGTGACGTCTCACCTGTAGCAACCTGCTTTTGGAGCTTCTTATGTTTCGCAACCCACATATATAGATTTGAAAGCATCTTGCATTATGGGGAAGGATAAGCCTGAAGATGTACATGCACACCCGACTGTAACCTGTGGCATCGCAGTAGGTCTGCCAAGTCCGGAAAGCGATATAAGACTTCCAGCGGGTGTCATGCAGCTTTGTGCTTGAGACCTGGATTCAAAGAGCACAACATGATCCCAGAGTTACCACACACAGCTGATCCACAGCGAAAATTGTCCTCTAATCTTGAAACAGCACGGACTGCTGTTACTGTTCAGGACCCTGGAGCACCAGATGCACCTCCAATCTGGTCAGGTGTTGTTTGCGTGTCCGTCCTCCACTAACATCACAACGAGAAGCGTCTCCAACGAGAATTGAAACTTGCCCAGAACAATGGCAACTTTTTCCTGGAAGGCCCGAGTTGATCCGAACAGGAGTGCCAAGCGGGACCTGAACCCGATAATGCTTTCAGCCTGAGGATCCTGGAGTGTGCGCTCGTTCAATGTCCTCTAGAACGGAAGGTCTCAGCTGACTATGCCCCGGCTTCCTGACACCAGACCCTTTACCACGAAAATGACTCACAAGGCCTCAAACCCTGAAGCTCAAGGGCAGGATGAGCATAGGGTGGGGTAGTCGGGGAAGCGATAACAGTTCAAATCCTTCGAACCACAACACCCTAAAGCTGCCTTTCTGACTTGGCCAGGTCGCTTAGTTGGTCGAGGAGATCCAAAGCTTCCCTCCACTGCGCTCCCTTCCTTGTCGGCGCCCAGCATCTCTGTTCAGGGTTTGGAGTTTAGGGCCAAGATGTTAACCTTGTGGTTACTGGGCTTTATGCAGCTCTTAATCAAAGCATGCACGATGACTCACTGGACAGGCAAGCTTCTCGCAAGCGCTGAGCGCCGCTCCGAACGTGATGATGTTGGGGTTCACCTGTTAACTATCTAAAGACTGGCCACTGCTTGACGTCACGACGTTCTAGCCAGCATCTTTCTTCAAGTCCACCTTTGTTCGTTCACCTCTCTTTGTTCAACAAAACTTTTTTGGTCCATCTTTTGAAGAGCCGCCATCGATGTCAAAGGGTGTATGTTTAGGGTTTCGGGTGTAGGCTACGACGCCCAAGGCCCCAAACCCCTCTGGGGTTGAAAGGCTTTTAGTCAGGCTTCAGCAGCTGCTTTCCCCGCTTTAGCAAGACCATGGCTTCTGTGGAGAAGTATCGGTTGTGCAAAATGAGGGTAACCTTGAGTATGTATCGAGACTGAGCAGATTGGAGCAAGAATTGTTTGCCTCACTTCTGGGGATCATTCTGCAGGGGCACACTGCCCCTGACAAGAAAACGTCCTATAGACTTTCGAAAAGTCTTCGGCCAGCTTTGAAACGACTCCATCCCCCAAAGCTCAGACCCCTCATCTTTCGCCCAGGCCGGGGCACTTTCTGCTCCCACATCGATCTGAAAGTGCTCAGGGCTCCTTGACGCAGGTTTTCACGTGGGGTCCCTGCATGTATCACACACCCCACCCAACCCAAAAAAGGCCTACAGTTGCCAAGCCTCAGTTGCGTATTGTCTTGATGAAAGGGCTAACGTTGGGTGTAGACCTTCGCAAGTCAAGTTTGATGCCTGAATGCTAATAGGAATATGGGGTCCGTACCCCATTTAATATGGCCCCCCCCTGCATGGAGTCCATGTGAGGGCTTCCGTCACAAGGTTCGGGAAGCATGGTTTGGCCAATTCAGCAGCACATGGCACGTAAGATAAAGGCACGATGTGAAGGTGGGTTAGGCGGGGGATGCAATCAGGTTTCATGACATTGAGATGAACCCACAGGCCTCAGATAAAATTGAAATACTCGAGAACACATGAAGATGTAACCGGTTAATCGCTCAACAATGGCGCAGGGTAATGAATTCTCAGAAGTACTACCCGATCCTGCTCGGTCCTGCCATCCCTCCCTTATCCGTTACCCAGCACACACCACTTTAAGGTGCGGTCAAAGACTCGCACCCACTCAGCGCCCCGCACACAGGCGCTAACTGCTGCGCTACACGTGTACACATTCGGCTCCTCAGCTTTGCAAGCAGTTGGTTCAGGGCTTAAGTGGTTCGTTATTGGGATGCTGTCGGGTAGAAAGGCTGTATATCAATCCTTTATTGGATTTCAATTTAACAAGCTGAAGAACCAGCAACCTTGTCGACATCGACCCAGTTTCGGGAGGAATTCGAATACTGTTTAGTGTGTAGGGTGTTGGTGTCAGCGGGTTTAGCATTGAAGGTTGCCATGTTTCAGGGTTTTCCCGGCGATCTCACTCAAGCTTCTGAGTATGAGGCCCAGAGTTAACGGTCCGACTCTTTTTCTTTACTCAGCTGCAGGAATGTGGGCCTGCATAGTCAGGACTAAGAAAGAATCATAGAGAGTAGGGTGAAAACTATGCTTGGAACAAGCGGCCTGCAGCATGAGGCAAAGAACATCAGGTACCAGTGGTGCCTGCTACAAGGAAATTTCCCTCTCCAATGTACTCCTGCCTCATGGGCTTCACCACCACATCAAAAGCCACGGAGAGAGCGGACTTCTGTTTGCGCAAGGCCCCTCAGGTTCCCAAACACCTACAGCCACAGCCTTTTAACCCTACCCTGTGAATCACCGCTTGACTTCCCAAATGCTGACTCTTGCCTTGAGCCACCAGGCTGCTCCTACGTTCCTCCCAACTCTGAAGCCTCCATAAATCAGAACACACAAAACATTCATTCTGCAGAGACTTCACAAGAGGACATAAACTCTGATACGGCTATCTAAACTTCTGAGCCCTGAAGCCCGAACCGTAAGCCAATACCCTAACCTTCAGCCTAACCCCCTACCTGATAACCAGGCCGAACCCAGAATTCCAAATAATGTCCCTCACCTCTTTCAAGTCAGAACCCTTCACATCGCCAGGGCACAGCTCCCTCTTGCTTCATGGCCTGCAGCAAGGCCAGGACTGCAGCCGTGGACGAGCCTCGGTAAGTAGGGAATGGAGGCAAGGATCCCTAAATTACCGCCTCTGAGAAATTTGATCTTTTGTCCCTTCCGCCATTCAGGGGTACAGAGAGGCACCCTGCTTTTGACCAACACACATGCTTTGGTGAAGGCTTCGACTGTGTAGTTTCGCGTGCGGGGCTGTTGGCACAGGGTTTCGGAACCACAGCTCAACAGGCTAACATGTTTGCCTACTCATGGGAGAGGTTTGGCGGGGAGCGGCCGCCAAGCTGTAAATCTAAAAAAACAAGGGATAGCGTTTCCAGCCTGCAGTTACCGTAGACAGCGAATTCTGGCTAGAACGCCCGCAAGGCTTCGTGGGAGTAAAGCTGAAAGTTGAACGTCGGCACACTTCGATTCAATCAGCCGTGGAATACGAGCCTGAGACTCGTGGTGCAGAGAGCCTCAAGAAAGACAGCTCTGGAACTGGCCTAGAATCTAGCGCTGCTCAGTTGGACAGCACTACACCAAGATTGGAATCTAGGGCATGTTCCAAAAAAAGCGGCGTCCAAGCCTGCAAGATGGATTCCTTTTGTTCATTGGCAAAGCTTTCCTGAAGCATTGAAAACTTCTTAGGAACTATTGAAGGAATGCAAAAGAAAATGGAAAGTATAACAATATTTGTGATTTGTATAGGGAATCCAGTCCTTCGTTCTCTACTAGCAACCAAAAAAATGATCAAAGATCCTCGTCCTGGAGGCTTGTACAAAGTCTGGGGATCATCACAAAAGCGGGGAACATAGGAATCTGTTCCCGAGAAAGTTACAGCAGGGCCAGGAAGTTGAAATCTCTATGCACAGCAATGTCAGTTGTCTACTAGGCAGCTCAGCAACCTTTTCCACATGCGCTGATGCAGGCGGTGTACGAGACGACCGCCGCAGGCGATGCTGGCTTCCTCAGTGGTGCAGCTTTGTGGTCGCGCTACACGTCCCTGAATCCCGAAACCTAAATACCTCACACCTCAACTGCAATCGGGCCAAAAGTCAACCCCTGGAACCACCCTAAAGATACCCCAATCAAGCACTGTGACAGTATCCCAAGTTTCTTCCCTGGAAGCTTGGGGGTTTTTTTGCGTGGCCAAACACCTAATCGCATTTGAGAAGCAAAGGCCCTTGATCAGCACGCAAGATTCATAGCAGATGTCCCTCTATCCAAGCAGAGTGCAGAAGGGCTCAGTAAGGTCCACTCCTTCATCTCCCGGGCTTTCCCCCATATCAGCGCACTTTCCTGCCTGTAGTTTGACTTGATTAATCCTCCCTCAGACAAGATGCCTCTCCATCTCCAGCAGGCAGACAGCCCATTCCCAAACAGAGTGTCGCTCACATGCACTGATGGCTGGACTGTACCTGGTGCTGCGGAATGCCTCACCTCAACCTGAATTACTGGTGGGTGGCTCCACGGTTCTTGCCCACTGGTCTGTGGTTTGGGGGTAGGGCAGGGCTAGAGCATGGTTTAAACTTGCGATGCTCAGATGTGTTGTGATTGCTTCGATTATTTTTGAACCCCAATGAATGTGGGGATTCATTGTGCAAAGCTTTGCCAAAGTTATCCAAGAGCCCCTGAGTCACTTGGGGCTGCTCGTGTGTGCAAAGTTCAGCTGCCTGATGTTTGTTGCGGTGGTGGCGGGCCTATCAATCTTGACGTAAACTCTTCTGCATGAGCTACCGAGCACTGCAGCTTTGGGGTGGTCTAGTAATTGCAAACAGTGCCTCTTCGAACCCTTCGATCCCTAGATCCACCCTGATCCAGGCCCCGGAAAGATTTCCAAGGAATGTAATCATGCAGAAATAACCCCGAATGAGGGGAGTATCCCGACCCAGGACCCCATTATCTGAATACCCAGAGAAAGCTGCTGAGGAGGACGGAGATTATAAAAACAGGAGAACTCAATGAATTTCATCTCCGTTTACCCTGCAGGCTAACACCTGGTGCAACGTCCGCTGGATATTCTGAAGAAGCGTGTACATGCGCAACCGCTTCATGTCGAAACTGTTGCCTCGGAGCCGTATGCAATATGAAGCCCAGCTGTAATTATGCTGCATGTGCAAAGCTCATTCTACCATACTCTACCGTCGCCCTGTCAGCTTAGCGGCCTTTTCCTGCCATCCTTAATGGCTTCGGGCAGGGTAAGGTCGCAAGATCGCAAGCATGGGATGCGAGCACCACAGGGGCACAAAACCAAAGCATGTCATGCGACATGGAGTTCCAAGCTCTGAACCGATTTGCTTGATCCTCGCTTCCGGCCTATCGGAAAAGCATGAGACCTTCAGGTCCTGAACCGGGCCTTATATCCTCCAAAACCCTGGAAGAACTGCATGTAACCACATACCCTATGTGTCAGAGCCTACACTCACATGCTGAGACTGTCTACCTCAGAAGCTTAAGCTTTCAAGCTCTAAACCTAGACTTTAACCTCAAAACCTGTCTGGCGCACGCAGTCAGACTCCCCAAAGTTTTTCCCAACTCGGCGCGGCGCAGCTGCTCCTGACTCCGTGGACCCTACTAAATGTCAGTTCGGGGGTTCAGAGCTGTGGGTTTGGGATCAGGGCTTGGGTTTAGGAATGCGGTGCTTCTCAAAGGAGGGTTTAGGGATGTTTGGAGATGACAAGTGAACAAAGAGAATCCCCACTGAGGATTCTACAGGGATAATTTGGAACAACCCCCTTCTAATAAGAGAGCTCGAAGCACTAGGTTTGGGATTACACTTTTGTGTGTGTCTGTGTGGGCAGGGGCTAGGCATTAGGGATCTGAGCTTTGAGACTAGCCATTAGGTGGATCCATGTCTCGTTTCTCCTCAGGTAAGCTTCCATTCCCCCGGCAAAAAAACATGGCAGCCATAGGTTGTAGATTGGGCCTGGGAGCAATATTTGATAAACGCAATCTTGGACCGCGAGGATCTGCCCTGCACGACTGTGAATCATGCTGCAGAAAGCCTGCAAGTCCTCTACTGCAAGTCCTGAACCCTCAAGCATACAAACTCTCGACCCTCACCCTGCAGTTCAGGTAACTATCAAAACCTTGCGAGCTCTCTGCTGGCAGATTCTCTGAAAGGCATGTCAAACTGTCGTGGATGCAATGGTCGGTACTTCTTTGAGAGGAGGCATGTTCTGATCTGGCTTCTTGTAGAAACTCATGTTGGGGATTTTGCTAATTTGTACTGAGATTTTCGAGCCGTCCTACAATTTGTCCGCATCCTAAACTATAGCCCTCGAGATCCCAACACCATCTCAACCATTGACCATCAAACCCAAGAATTGACTGTGCCAAGTCACCTGGAGAGAGCTCGAATCCGCTGCCTCCCAAACACATGCAAGGAGCTACTAATTAAGCTGGTGTCTTATTCAAAGACCCCTCTCACAGGCATCCACAATGTTGCAAGAACCTCTGGCAGGGTTGGGACCGAAATCGAAATATAGGTGTGGGCCAAAGGGGCTTGTCGCAGAACCAACCATCTGTCGCAAACCCGGGTCGTGGGAAGACCGCCCAAGACCGGTTTCAAGCCAATTGCTTTTGGGGTGCTCCCATATCCTGCTGGTTGTATAGGAATATCTTCACAAGATCGGTTGGGTTTCGGGCGCCATTACTGGCGTGGAATCCAGGGGGTAGCTAGGGTGTAAAGCCCCATGTGGGGCTTCTCACTGTTGCGCATCCCTCTTTGGGGTTCTACCCCACTCAAAAAGCACAGTCATGCTCTTGAAACCATGCAGTTGGATATCTAATTGCGAACTTTCAGGAGCTCCTTGGAACTGTCCGCCATCAACCCCAAAGCGCACTGCTTGCCCTGCTTACCGCCGGCTTCCACACTGAACCCTGCTTCAAAGTGAGGACGGGTTACACAAGCGCACTATGAAACTCCAGGCCACGAAAACCTTCAATCCCCTGAATCCTGCAAGCCTCTAAGTGTGAACCCGTAAGCCCTCGACAACTGAAACGGTGAACCCAGAACACCTCCGTCAGCTTCCTCATCAGGCTTCCACCGCCAGTGGCCGCCATGGCGTGAGGACGGCCGCGCACCAAATTCTATTCTGAGAGCAGTGAGAAAGAACATCAGAAGCTTGCAACGATCTAGTGTCCACTTATTATGCTTGCTGTCCTGGCCTCCCTGTCCTTTCTTACGACAATGTGAGAATCGGGACTTAGCTTTCAGATTTCGGGGAAGAGGGTTTGCAGTATAGGGCTTGGTTTTTGCCACTTGTTATTTCGGGCCTTGCGGCTTGGTGTGTTGATGCGTGCCCTTAGCTGCTCCGCGCCCAGTTTGCCCTCCATCAATGTGTCGTCATTGCGAAGAAGTTGCGGCATGTAGATTTTTTCGCTTCCGTGACAGCCTTTAGGAATCAACTTCTGCATTTCATATGCGTGATTACAGTCGGGAGACCGCCTGTGAGAAGCCACGCCGCAAAACCCACCTGGAGAAGCGGGGAGCGCCATCTGCATAATCGTGAGGCACACTTGCCTTAAGAAATGCAGCCCCCACCCCAGCAAGGAGCCCATGCAGCTGATGGTATTAATTCACTGTCTCCCTGACATGGACACCCAGTACATACACTGACATACGCTCGTCCAAAATTCCAATGCGGACACTATATGCACTCCCCAAACCCACCATTGAATTGCATTAACCTTATTCCAGTACCCCAGTCTTTTTCAGGGCAATGTTGCTTGGTGGCTCCGTCGAGGCCCACATCAGTTTGGCGCCCTGATAAGCCAATCATGGTACAGGACCGTCTCAACGCTGGGCCTCAGAACAGAAGCAATGACTATGCAATTGAAGAAAAGCACAAGCATGAAATGCACGATGCCTTGAGTAATGGTACGCAACAATGCCCCATTTATCTAGCTTTCGAGTCTTTGGCAGTCGGTACTGCCACAGAGCATGACCCCAACCTACACGTGATGGAGCCAAAGGCAAACCCCTCGCCTCTGTTTTTCTGGGCTAGAAACTGGTTCCGCTTTGCGGCTGCCTGCCACTTTCTGCAGTGTAGAAGGCAGAGTCCGTAACAATCTTAAGTGGACCTCCGTTTTTTGGAACATACAGGCTATGTAAGTATTAGAGCCAGTGTAGTCTGCTTGTACTTGGGATTCTCGCTTGTGGGAACCTGG